AGAAAAGCCACTATACAGCTTGGGGATCTCAAGTCTGAGCCCTACAATATCGGTTCCTTCGGCCCCCCGCAGGGCTCAGTCGTCTCCCCACTGCTTTTTAACATTGCAGTGTGGGGCCTTGCTGCAAAGCTCTCAAACCAAGAGGGCATCAAGTTCGCCATCTACGTGGACGACATCACTATATGGAGTGTCGGTGGCTCGGAGGGCTCTGTGGAGAGCTCTCTTCAAGAGGCCGTAGACTGTGTTGAAGTCTACATAAATGATATGAGCCTCAAGCTCTCGCCAGCAAAGTCCGAACTTCTCTTATATCGACCCACGAGACGGGGACCCAAACCCAAAACTGGCAACCACTGGCTGACATCGACATTAGGCTGCACACGGCATCGGGGCAGCGTATTCCAAGGGTGGACTTCATACGCGTTCTGGGCATGATTATCGAGGCTAATGGACAGAACGGCCGCACGATCGACCATCTCACTTCTAAGGCAGAAGGGGTCATGCGACTAATCTCACGCATTTCCAATAGTCGGGGTGGTCTTCGAGAGCACAACCTCCTCAGACTATTCCATGCATTCTTGATGAGCCACAAGCTATGTCGCATCTATGCACAGGTGGCAACACCATGAAAGAAATAAATTGAACATCCTCATAAGGAAAAGCATCAAGAAAGTTCTTGGCATTCCTTTGCGCACAAGCACTGAGAACCTTATGAAACTTGGAGTCCACAACACGCTTGAAGAAGTTATCGAGGCTCAACAAACGGCACAGGTTGCCAGGCTTTCGATCACACCAGCGGGGAGAAAGATTCTGGTTGACACTGGAGTCAACCCCCTGACGCTCGAAGTGCAAAATACGCCACTCGATGATTATATACGCTCTCGCATCAAAGTATGCCCCCTTCTACGAAATATGCATCCACAGTACAACGTGGGCAGGCGGGTCACTCGAGCCTCCTCTCTTTTAGCTCAAGCTCACAAACACTCGTCTGTTTCATGCTTTGTTGATGCCGCCCAGTATAGCGTTTCCGCTCGCATTGCGGTAGTATCCGTAGATATTAAGGGTCAGATTTTATCCTCGGCGTCGGTTTGAACCCCTTCTTCTTACAAAGCAGAACAGATGGTCATTGCACTAGCACTCCTTGATCCACAAAGGACTGATATTTATACGGACTCTAAATCCGCTGCTAGGGCCTTCGCTTCTGGTTCCGTGTGCAAGGAAGTTTTGAGAATTCTCGCTCACAAGGAATTCACCCACCACACAATTATTTGGTTCCCTGCTCACCTTGGCTTGAGGGTCAGAGGCCTTCCCAATGTCAACGAGATAGCCCACTCCAAGGCGCGAGGCTTCACTTACCGCGCCGGGACTTGTGCTTCTCAGACAGAAGAGTCAGCCACCAGCCTTCATTTTAGGGACATTTTGACTACCTTCAACGAGATCACGAAGCATTATCAATTAGGCCGTAGGTCATTTCCATTGCCACACGAAAAGTTGTCTAGGCCACAGGCAATCTCTCTTCGCATGCTTCAGACGGGAACATACCCTAGCCTCGTAACCTATAGCCATTACTCCGATATTTCAGAACTTTGTCTGGACTGCCAGAATCGCAGTGATTTTAACCACATGCTCTGGAGGTGCCCCTCTTTACAAAGAAAAAATGAAGAATTTTCTGAGAACTCCTTTCATTTAATGCTCACGAGTCTGGTTCTCATACAACAACTCAAGGCTGTCCAGAAGGCCCACGATGCGGCGGTTTTTCATCCATCCATTCTAAGCAAAGATAGGTGCAGTGCATATGTCGATTTAAATTTTTCTAGTAGTATGTGCCTTATGAGGCAATAACATAGAAGTAGGTTAGCATAACTAATTGCGAGTATTGGAAGTGAACATCAATATATATGCCAACGCAGCAGAATTTAAATGTCGCAATAGTGTTTGGAATTATGCTAAGCAAAAGAGATGACAGGGCATACGTCGATTTCGATTTCTTAATTACATCTGCCTTACCAGACGATAATATGAAAACAAATCAACATATTGCGAGATTATAACTCAACTTTCTACATCTAGAGGCCATACACGGCCTCTAGATGTAATGAACGACAGAAGCGTGTACGGCAGGGGCCTGCTGATATGACAGTTCATAAAGCAAAATGGTCAGCATCAAAAGGAGCATCTGGAATGAATAGACGTGAAGGAGTCACTCTCTCTAGAACATAGGACCCAGCACCAATAACATTTTATTACGGAGAAGTGAATATATGCATGCCATCGTAATGAAGCAACTGCGCTAAATTCGTCTTTATAGCGTAGCTGCCTTGAAGTTTTATGCATCGCACATGTAATTAAGTATTCATAATAGCTGATCAGATGACCTACATAATTGCATATACTTCACAATACGCAGATCAATACGAAAATGAATCCTCATGTAGCTTTTCATTGCAGGTGGTGACCGATGATCCAATGCAATGAAATTCAAAGCAGAAAGTTACATAGATAGATAGATAGATAGATAGATAGATAGATAGATAGATAGATAGATAGATAGATAGATAGATAGATAGATAGATAGATACACTCAAAGTCACCAATGCTCGCCAAGAAATTCTTCGCATTGAAAATGTCCCTTGCTAGCTGTGTCGAACTTCGTCGGTCTCGTCTTCACCCGTCCAGTCTCGTGCCGGTCCCGTGGCATAGCATCCCGTGGCAGGCGGGTTTTACGAACGCGAATTGTTGCACGCGTCTTCTGCGTCTGTCGAACTGCGGCAATATAAAGCCGGTCAGTGAACACTTCGGGTTTTTTCTGTCATTAATCACCTTACACATATGGGTTCTGCAACCGCTTTCCTGTTTTACCATAAGGTTATACGATAAACATTTGAATTAATGTATTACCACTAACTAGCCCGGACCCACACTTTCATTGATTTTATCTTACCCGAAATCAATGCCTATGAATATGAGCGCATTGTCAGCCAGAAAGTCTTGTCTGAAAAAGCTGTGGACGAGTTTGCCACCGACATTACTGCCCCAAGTTGAAGTTTGTGAGTGGTTTCACTAAACTGCTTCACAAAACCTCAGTTGTTGTGCTGGAGGTGGAAAGGTTGTAGGCCCGTGTGCTCAGATTTGGGTACACGTTAAAGAACCCCAAGTGGTCTAATTTTCCGGAGCCCTCCACTACGGCGTCTCTCATATTCAAATAGTGGTTTTGGGACGTTAAACCCCACGTACCATCAGTTGTTGTGCTAAAATTTTCTTGCGGATTTATTTTCTCATTGAATAAGGAACGCGGTGTTCAAAGTACAAACCCGAGAAATTCAGCCCATTTTACGCCGTGAAACTAGTCGCACAGTGAAGTCGTAATGATCATGCTACTAACTATTGGTGCAAAAAAAGAAAAAAAAAAAAACGTCGTCATCGTTCGCAGCAGAAACATCATCATTGCTCAATTTATTTCTTTATTTATACGTCCTCTCTGGTCACGTGGACTGTGTGACTGCTATACTACGACGGCGTCACAGGCAGACTATCACAACTTAGATGTAAAAAAAAGTAACAGATGGCACTATTACGTTGCTGTCCAGTCTCTCCTTTGTAGTTTGCTTAGACCACCTATAGCTGAGGCGTAGCTCGTGTCTTTCACTGAAAATCGCAGTGCGCTACAGAAAGAAATAAGGGCATAGACAGTCGTCCCTCATATAAGACGACAACGTGGCAAGGCAATCACACTTCCTCTGCAGGCCTCTGTAATTGCCCAATCCCTCGCCCTTTTTTTTATTTACTTTTCAGCGTTCTTCTTGAATTGTGAGCCACTCGCTCTGCTCCGACCCAGCACGCGCTGTTGCCTCTGTCCGGAGGGTCTAGAGCTCTCGGGAGCACGCGCGATGACATATGAAACCGGAAAATAAAAGCGCAGCAAGCCCCTCTCCTACCCACTCGTACAGGCGGAAGTAGACAGAGCTGGGATAGGCGCACTCCTCCTTTTCCTCCGCAAGGCGTGATCGATCTGAGCAGAGCACCGAGAGCGAGGCCTGCGCGGCCCGCGCAGATTACAGTGGTCATTGCACTGGCTTTTCTTGCTTGCCTCGCGTTTCTCGTCTTCTTACCCTCCTCCTCACTAGCAGCGTCAAAGCACTTGCCCCGCAAGAACAATGGAAAAACCGGGAACTAGCAAGGCCGAGGAGTGGTTGGCTAGCTCGATGGAAAGGGGACGCGGCGAAGAAAGTACCGAACGTTGCAGGGAGGGGAAGGTGGTGTAGAAGCGGTGCGGAAGGCAAGATAATAGTCGCCGGAGCATGCGGTTCAGAGAACAGGGTAGGGTGTCTTCTATCTTGCCAGTAGTTGCGGGGTCGCTTGGTTAGCCACCTCCCTGCGTTGTCTGTCATGTATGATTTTTTTTGTTTCGTTCTGTTTCGTTTTGGTTTTTTGCGTTCGCCGGCACAAGGGACGCTGAGACTGAATGGGCGTCAGCGGCGAAGACGGTGAAAAAGCGGGCGGGGTGGGCCAGCAGCCTTTTTCCCTTCCCATTGCCGAGCTCCAGCCTAACGTTCTGAACACATGCGGTGTCTAAAAAAATAACAGAGAAAGAAAAGAAGGGGAAGGGAAGCAGCAAGAGAGCTCGGCGGCCAGTCCGGCGGCGTGTCACTGCGGTTTCCGTGAAGAAGGATCATCAGCCCGCCGGGTGTGTAGGGAAGGAGAGCACGGAGGGGAGGGGGTAGAAAGTCATCATTCCACCGTGCCTCTGCTGGAGCGGATTGAAGGGGCCTCCCTCGCCGCCGACTGCTGCAGCCATGACCGCCTCTGCGAGGAGCAGCAGCACAGCGCTGTGGACGCACGCAGAACGCCAGCAGCGGCCTCCTCCTTATCGTCTAGTCGCGTCTGGTCGATAATAATAGTAATAAATAGAGAGCGAGGAGAAACCAGGCTTCCTTCTCTTTCTCTGCCGAGAGCGAGGGTAAAAAAGAGAGTGCGGCGCAGTGCCGCCTGCAGTGAAGGAGACAGAGAGCGCGCGCGGGAGAAGTGGCGTCGCCATGGCAACCATTGCCTTGAACGTCGTTAACGTGCGCGCAGGCGCACTGCATCCACTCGTAATGATAATTAAACGGGGCTGTTGCGTGCGGCAGCAACCGTCGGAGCTGCGCCGCCGCTAGCTGCGACAGGGCGAAAGGAAGAGCCTCGGCGGACAGCGTCGCCTGCAGCGAGCGCGGCGGCGTACGAAGAGTGAAGCGGCGCGGCGGCAGCAGCAGCAGCAGCAAACGCCGAGCGCTGTCGTCGGAGGCGGCGTCGTTTGAGTGCGGCGCTCGCGCGGTCTCTCTTGCTGTTCGCGTGTGTGTGTGTTTGTGAGTGCGCCAATGGCCGCAGACGCTCCTGCATCTTGCCTGTGACTATCGCCGACGTCGTAGTGTGGTGGTGGCGTCGGAGGCGAGGCCAAGCGACTGCGGCGCCGCCCTGGTGCTCACTGTGGGCGACGTCGCCGAGCCGCCGCGGCGATCCAATATGGAGCTGGTGCGGCGGTCCAAGAATTTCAGCGTCGCCGAAAGCGATGCGCTCATCACGCTGTGGAGTGACCCAGAGACGCAGAAGAAGTTTGACTCGGCCTACCGGCACTCGGTCATCTGGGAGATGATTGCCAACAAGCTTCGCATGCACGGATACGAGCGCTCATCCATCGACTGCAAGACGAAGATTAACAACCTCAAGGCGACGTACTTCAAGTTTCGCAGGATCTACAGCGCCGGTGAGTAGAGCGCTTCCGCTCAACTGTCCACGCCCACTCGGGTTCTCTCCGTGCGCAGAACCCGAACTGCACAGACGCGCGCGCGCGCGTTGATGTTTCCCGCCCTGGCTCTTAATTTTTATCCATTGGGAGCTCAGTGAGAGAAGCGCGGTTTCCGGGTTAACCCTTCGGGTACGCGCCGAGCGCGCCTGGGATTCAAGGAATAAAAAAAAAGAGGGAGAGAAGAAAGAGGATCGGTGAACGTGCGAAAAAAAAGTGTGAGGTGGGGAAAACGTCGTGTGCTGCTAGAGTGAGAGGGCACCCACCACAACACGGAACGGCCTCGGTCGCTCGGTGTGTCTCCGTGCCGATCGATAGCACGCTGGCTGAAGTCAGCCAGGCGGCAATGTTTTGATTTGCAAAGGCGCCAGCCGGGCCGCCCGCGCTTTGCAGGGGGCGTCGGTGTGAACGCGGCGCCACCGGCGTCGTTCTCTGCCGTGCGCAGGCGGAAATCTTCCGGCTTTCCCGCTTCTACTCCGCCTTCCTTCCTGCCCGTTCGGGCTCGGAGCTCGCGCGCTGTGTTTGGGCGCTCCGGCCGTATTGTCGATGCAGCGTTGGTGATTTCAGGCATCTGTCGTTGCCGTTAGCCGGCTTGTTATGCGCTATACGTGAGGTCATATTTTGATACTACATGTTACCGTGCGGGCATTTGATCTGAGCTTCTCTGAAATTCGGAATTTAGTCTTGAAGCCGCCTGCCGATTTTTGACAGTTCCCCAACCGCACACTATTATAACAGAGCCGTGTGATACAATTGCAGGTTTTCACCGCTTGTCGTTGGCCTGTCAAACGTTTCTTGCACGATGTTAATTGAGCTGTCGCTATGCGTGATCGCGTGCTGTGGCTTCAGCCGAGTGTGACGCAAGCTTCTTTCGAACCACAGTGGTCGTCATTTTGCCTGTCATTCAGTCATATTCTTTCGCAAATAGATTTTGCACTGTGCGATAACTGTATGCATACACCTTTATTTACACTCACATTGCATGTGTTGCCGATGCCAATTGTCATCCAGTGGTTATATTGCTCCGTGGAAATTCATACAATTATACCTAGAGAGGAATCTGGCGCGGCGATCGTGTACCCTCATGGGAATTATGGGAAGTACAGGCTTCGGATTGGATCGCGTTTGCCAGTGAACTGTCTACGGATCTTTTCTCTACAGTTTCAGTATCGTTCTTCGCGTAGTGGGTTGGGTGCAAAGGACTGAAGCGGCGCCTTTGTTGTTCAAGGAAGCTGCAAAATGCTATGCCTCTCAATTTACTGCAATGCTGGAGCTGTATAAGTCGCGTTTTACAGTTTCAGCGACGCGTCGTCCACTCACCGCTGCGCATGAATGTAGCGTCCCATACCAGTGCAGGATATTACATCGAGTTCACAGTTTGTTGTTTGTGCGTCTTGCCAAAACTCGTTGAAATCAACTGCAAAATGACGGTGACGCGAAGTAGACGCACCGTCACGCTGTTCTCACTCGACTTCACAACAAAACGAGAGGTGCGTTGGGGGCAGACAACTTGAACAGACGCATCTGGCATCGCAGCAGACGAAACTTTTAAGTGTTTTTCACTTGGTACTGTGCTGTTATTTCTATAAATAGATCTTGCGTACTTTCGAGGGCAAAACAAGAATATTTCTTTTAAAATGTTGTAAAGAATAATTCATTACATCTTGATGCCAAATCTGGAACGCGATGGCAGAGCAATACATACGCTGGTGGTTAAATTTGTCCAGGTTTATTCTACCCCCTAGTCACAAAAACATTTTGCAACAAAGTTTGCGTACAACAAAAGGAAACAAGTTTCAATTAGACCTAACTTCATATTACTTTGTTTTACGCTCAGCAAACAAGCGTCGCGAATCTCAAGAACGTGATCCGTCCGAAGCCTGTACTTCCCATAATTCCCATGGGGGTACAAGCGCCGCTGAAGGAGCCCGCGTAGACACTAGCGCCATAATCTCCTCTAGGTATTATTGTATGAAACTCTATGTATTGCTCTAACTGGGAACGCTTCGTTGTACCGCGTCATTGCAAACTACAGTGCGTCGCATCACACTTCAATTAAGCGATGCTGTGGTTGTATTATGCATGCGGTTGGTCCGATAAAGTACGAAGAACATTCTTCTGTTTAAGCTTATCCATCACTGATCTTACTATGCGGCCGCAAAAGTTTTTGCTTGGCACACTGCCATAACCGTTGTAATTGATCTTGAATTTAATACCATATATTGCGAACAATCTGTAATACTTGAATCGAGAGCCAACTACTTATAGTGCACCGTGAAAGCGGAAATATGTTGGTAAATGAAGGACGCGTGACATTTCAGAATTTTTTAATAACCGTACGCGTTTTAACGGTGAAGTGCTTTGAGCCGCCGTGAAAGCTTTCGTGTGTACGAAATGGCGTGTACACTGAAATTGGGCAAGTGCGACTGTTCACCGCTGGTCCACTAAAATGAACAAGGCAAGAGGTGGGTGGCAAACACAAATTAACATTTCTAGACAAACGTTTCGAGTAATTTGAGAAGGTTTTAATTAATTCTCGGAATTAAGCATGCGATGGTTACTATGGCCGCACGTTTCAGCTTCGCGGAAGCATCTGTATGGCGTTCAGACGGAATGCCACTTCTATAGAACGCGGCCTCTTCAGCTGCCATTTTCTGCAGAAATATGCAAAGAACGCCGCCGTAGTGATGTACCTCAGGTACCGTACTCTATGCTTGGTCCTTGTGCTATAAATCAAGAATGAAGTGAAGCTTGTAACTAATGTGAGTGTGCCAGCTGCGGACAACAAAAAGCGTCCGTTGGTAAGCGTGATTCCGTCTGTGCTTCAGCCGTTCCCACAGCAGGAGAATACTGAGAAACGGGAAAATCAAGGCTGCTGCGAGAACGACGCGATGTGTTGGAAGTCCTACGCGAACGACGACTGGGCCCGTAGACTCCCATGAGACGTGCGAAGGCTCGGTTTCGGCGCGAGCTTCAGTCCCTGTACTTTGGAACTTCGTGTCGCGCTTGTGACTGTTTGTTGTTAAACATGAACCTCTCTGTGCTGAGAAGGCATACCTTGAAACAACCTAGCATCACTGATAGCTAAAGATTGACAACAACCTAGCATCACCTAGTTTAACCCTAGTTTGACGATATTACACTTCAGAATCGTTCAGCGTCGCTGTTTCAACTCTGTAGCTTGACTTAATGCAAGCCCTAACATTTGTGTATTGTATTTTTTTCTGTACATGAATATTACCGGGAACGTTCACCTATATTAGGAGAAATCATTTTTTAAAATCATGTTTTTTTTGTTTGGTCGCACGCGAATGGGTATGAAGTATTGTTGCAGCACGGAAGCACAGCTGCTGCTTTTCGGAAGTGGGCTGCCCTCGTCTAAACGTTGCAAGCCATCGCGTGAGTAAATGCACCTGTCATCGGTCCTCATATTTGTGTCCTTGGTTTAACTCTTTTTTCCTCGAAGGACAACAGACCCCCGTAGGTAGATGGTGTCACTGGTGGTGTGTCGTCGTCAAAGCTCCTGACATAAGATATATAGATACGTGTTTTAAGATTAAAAAAAAAAAACATTATTTGCGGGTGACCATGCCGGTTTGGTTGTCTTTTCTCACGTCAGTGTTTTTCGCAGCTGTTCAGAAGTCGAGAAATGCGCGCATTTCTTATGTACCAAGGAACGTATGTATGTTTATAGCCAGAACACGACGCTTTTTCCTCTCTGTCTTTTTCTCGTATATGTTTACGTCATGGCGTGAGTATGACTGGAGTATCCTGTTTGTGGCTTGTCTGCGTACAGCATAGATGCTTCACCGTTACCTATAAAAAGCATCTGACAATATTGGGATTTTCTGAGTGATGCATTTTCGAAACGGGGATGCCTCTCAAAATACTCTGTTGCCAGAACAGTGGTTCCGCAGACGGTGGCAGAAATTAAAGACGTCAATGAGAGAAGCGAGATCACTTCCTTTTGTGATAGGAGATAAAAATGTGACTTTTTATTCCAGGCACGGTGCGTGCTATTTGTTAATTTGGTGAATAATACACGGTGGGTACTCGAATGCTTTGGGAGCTTATTGAAAGAGCAGCAACAATACATTGCATAGTTCATTCTGCCCCGTGCATAAGCGCCAGGAGATAGTGCGTGGGCTTGTGGTAGGGTTGCACTGGAGAAGGTCAGCATTGGTGGTAGGTACTCGAATCTGGTCATGTCGGTATAATTTTACCGCGGAGGCAATAGTGCAAAACTGTAGTTGAATCCAATCGACTTTTTCAATCTTATTTCTTCTCACTGTTCGCGGCATTTCTTTAAGCAGTCATTTTTCCATAAATAACAAAAATTCTCGCGCGCGCGCGCGCGCGCGCGCGCGCGCGTGTGTGTGTGTGTGTGTGTGTGTGTGTGTGTGTGTGTGTGTGTGTGTGTGAGAGAGAGAGAGAGAGAGAGTGGGATCTTTATGGGGCATGTCATAAGTTAAGGTTCCAGATCAATTGTCTGGTGTTCACCAATAAGGCGGTCTTTATTCGTGTGTGTGACCACTTTTACCCTTTAGTTGCCATCGAAATACGCTGCCCTAATTGACGGAAAGTGTACACTCATAATCTATTATATATGATCTCTTGCCATCAGGGGCGTAGGCAGATGTTTTTTTAGGGGGAGAGGGTTGATTGATTGATATGTGCGGTTTAAAGTCCCAAAACCACCATATGATTATGAGAGACGTCGTAGTGGAGGGCTCCGGAAATTTCGACCATCTGGGGTTCTTTAACGTGCACCCAAATATGAGCATACGAGCCTACAACATTTCCGCCTCCATCGGGAATGCAGCAGCCGCAGCGGGATTCGATCCCGCGACCTGCGGGTCAGCAGCCGAGTTCCTTAGCCACTAGACCACTGCGGCGGAGCTAGGGGAAGAGGGGTGGCTTCCTGGAAATGGTGCTGTTTCACTCTGATGCCATGGCGAGCT